TAATATGATGTAATACAATTCGGTGGGTCAATTATTGGTAAATCCGAAACATCGATAAAATTGCGGATTACAGTACCTTGGTTCCAGTGGCACGGCGTCCTGAATTTTGCGACCTTGACTCCGTTCAAATTGTAGTTCAAGAAGGCCTGGCTTCAAAAGGAGGAGCCTTCACTTGCCCTGAAATCAAATTCTGTGATTTGGGCTGCATAAAATGGTTGCGACATGGGTGGAATCCATCCGGAGCATCCTGAAATAAATCTGTGGTTGAAGTTGACGTTCTTGATAGAATAGCTAGCGACAAAAGAATCATCAGTCCATAATTTTCTTGTAAATGGATGTAAATAGCTTAAGTTTCCCATAATTTCTTTCCTGAAAAATAACATAGATGTCCATATTTCTCCTGAACGTAGCATGATTGTCCTTATAATGTCTACTCTACATGTTCTTAAGTTGCATTTTTTTCACAACAAAAACATCTCATTTTCGCACCTCCCATGGACCCTCTTCGTCATCGGCAGGCAAACCTGATCAGTCTATTCCGGCTGTTTCAAATATGTTCAAAGTGCATTTACTGTCATGCCTGAAATGGGTGCGTGTAAAATGCGGTACACCAAATAAATCCAAATCATCGTTTCGTATAATTTCAATGGGAACAGTCAGTGAATATGATCGATCTATATTCATCTGATGATCACCAAATGGTTTTCTTGGAGTATCCATGTTTGAGACGAATCATGACCCAAACAGGTTTGGGCATGGTTCTCCAGTTGATCTGAAAAAATATCTTCGTCGAAGTCCAGTGGACCCACAGAATTTGGGACAGAAAATTCAAGTTGGTGTTTACAGGGTTTCCTGATGTTTCTTTATGTTTCTTTCAATCATGAAAATTGGGGATCATATGTTCTGTCGGGCATTCCAGAGTGTGTCAGTGTAAGACTGAGGACTCCACTCAAGCGTCTGTTGTGGTTGGACTCCCAGTCCTTAGCTGAAAAAAAAATGGGGTCAATCTCTCCCGCTTGAAAATGCGCAATGTGCATACGATGTGGTGCCCCACAGTTAGCTAAATTTTGTTTTATGAGTAGGCTAAACGATTGGGTTCGTGGACCCCCGTGTGAATTAATATAGTTGGGGCCCGAACTTTATAGCTATAAATTGCGAAATGGTCCCCAAACCATCACTATAAAGTTCCAAGGCGGGTAGCACCCACATCGTATTGAGCCTCTATAAAGTTCAAGGTAACACAAAAATCAAAAACCTACCCAATCAAGGGTTAAACCAAAAAAACAGTCTATAAAGTTCAAGCTCCAACGCGCCTTGGAAAAAGGCTCTGAATGTTCACCTCATTTTTCCAACCCAATTTAAATTTTATAGAGAAACCCCGAACTTTCTAGAGAAGGCCTCTGTTCAAGCCAACCCCAATAAATGATCATCAGGACTCAAAGAACTCAGCGCAAATTTTCCTCCCAACTGCATATCCTTCCACATCCTATTGTTGGGCCCGAGATAGACCCACTAAGGCTCAATCAAGGCCCAAGATAACCCCAACGTGGCCCAATAAAGGCCCTACATGAGCCCAACATAGGCCCTTCCAAGCTAAAAATTGCATGATTCTTAGCGCGAAAAAAAAGGCCCAAAAATTGCCCCTCACCGCTTCCGAACGGCCCAAGATAGACCCAATAGCTCAATCAAGGCCCAAGACAACCCCAACATGGCCCAATAAAGGCCCGACATGAGCCCAACATAGGCTTCCAAACCCAATTTCTCCAACTTCTTCGCGCAAAAAATAAATCATTTTTAGCGCGAAGATAAAAAGGGCCCAAAAATGGCCCCCCATCGCTTCCAAACGACCCAAGATAGATCCAATATGGCTCAATCATGCTCAATCAAGGCACAACATCAGCGCAACATGAGCCCAACATAGGCCCCCAACATGGCCGCGCCCCAAACTGGCATATTCCCACAAAAGCCAGTTTAGTTGGCTCAGCATGAGCCTCATATAGCCTCCAAATGTTAGAAGCATCTACGACGAGCTTCCGAAGGGATGGAGGCTGGGGGAAGATGGAAGTGGAAGGTGAAAAACAAAAATCCCCTCCTACTCTATTGAACTTTATAGGGTTCAAAAAGCCCGGGCATGGGTGATTTTGAACTTTTTTGGCTGGCTGGATGCCTGCATCGCTGTGCTTGGACCAAGGAATCCCCAGAATTATGGGTGATGCTGTGCTACTGTGGTGGTTTCATGGGGATGCATGGGAAAAACTTAAAAAAACCGGTGGCTGGAGGAGGATGGAATGTGGATTTGGTGGTTCGGCATGGCTTCACTCACTGCGTCCGCCGCACTCTGCCACGCGATGTGCCCGAATGATTCCAAATGTGCCATCAACAGGCCAAACTTTGTGATTTTCTCACATATTCCCACATTCTGTTTAGTATTGTGCTAATTTGTTTTCCAACTTGTTAAGAAATGCTACTGAGAAAAGTCAAGTTCACTTGATAAATTCTGATCATGCATGATAATGCAACGTTGAACTGGCAAAGACATGTTCTGTGACAATCCAGGAGAAACAATGACAAGGTATGATAGGCAAATGTGTTCTTTCAATATGATTGTACGTTTTTGGGGTGGTTTTGCCATGTCTTGCCTCCTGCATCACCCATCTTGGGCAAAAAACATAACAAAAGACAAAGACACGGGCCTCTATAAAGTTCAAACATGTTCAAACCCTTGCACAACATGACATCATGCAAGCCTACAAACTTGAACTGGCTTCCTACAATATCAGCTGTCCCCACTACAAATGGCATCTTCAGCAGGTAGCTTTTTCAAGATAAAAAGCAGGGAAACAAAAAAAAACTGTCTATAAAGTTCAACCACCATGGTATACAAAAAATGCCTCTTAAATATCGCCCTATTTTTGGATACCAGATTTAAAATTTATAGAGGAAACTTCACTCTAGATCTCTATTAAATGGTCTGGTTCTGGGTGTCGACACATGAACTTTGTAGAGGAAATAGGCAGGGGGATGTTCGCGGTACGTAGATTTATCATGATTTACCCTCTGGTAAACTAACATAACTATGGAAAATCACCATTTTTAATCGGAAAACTCACTATAAATGGCCATTTTCAATAGCTATGTTAAATTACCAGAGGGTATCTATCGCGAAAAATGGGGTCACCAACTTGTGACGCCGTGGGGAGCACCACTCGACTCACTGGACTGGATCCCGCACGTCAGAGGAAAGTCGAACGATGACAGCTTTGAACTCCACGTCGCCTCAGCTGGGAAAACACTTAGTCCTGGTATGTCCTGGTGGAATTTGATTTTAGCAAACATACATAATCCACTGGTATAATGGATATCAATGGTGTTTCAAACAGTCCTGGTGTTATCAATGGAAAACACTTAGCAAACCTGAAACACCATTGATATCCATTGATCCATGAGAGCTACAGGATGTTGTCTCTCATGTTTTTACAGTTGTGCCTATGGTGGGCCAAAATCAAAGACCTGCGAACTACACATGAAACTTCCAGAAGTTACAGGATTCTGGCCATTGGGAAATGTTTCAAGCTTGGGCGGCCATAGAATTTGATTGTGTTCGAAGCATGTTGAAGCGCATCATGAAAAGATGATGTGGACCAAATGGCCCTCATCTTGTAGTACTGCATGTTTTTCTTGATGACATCACCCATCCCATCCTTGATGCTTTGCCCCAGAATCCTCAGTTTCTGCGTAGGACTTGGGAGATGTCCCAGGCCTTTCCCACCTTTCCCGCTTGGTACCAGGCGAAATGAGCAACTTTGCAAATGGACGACTCCGGCCCAGGTGGGGTACCTCGGGATAGGGCCAACTCATCACTGATTGTCGCATCGAAGTCAGTTGGTTTCATCATCGCGTATCATCGCATTGGGGGATTGTGCAAATAACACATGAACTGAACAAAGTAACAAACCTGGAATACGCTTCGAGGGAGAAAAGAACACACCAAAGCATACCTTGAAGATGGGCGGGTCGATGCCAAATCTGGGAGGTGGCAGGAACATACTGATCAAACAGTAGGTTTCCATGCTTGACAAATACATCAAGCAAATACAACTCTAGCTGCGTCCAATATTCAAACAACATTTTGACAATCATTATTGCCATGAACAATTGTCCCGTGGTAAAACAACATGCGTGTGATTCAAGAATAGGATGCCAGTGGACAAAAAATCATAACAGTACCAAACAAATCCAAACAATCTCATTTTGGGAATGCTTCAGTATGTGTTTAATCAGCAAATCGCTACTGTTGTTGGTTGCAACCATTGATGGTATCACAAATTTAAGCCAGTCCCAAACGGCAAACCCCGCTTGTGCCCCCGGCAGATCGGGAGAGGTACACAATTTGATGCCTGGCAGTGGGCCTAAACTTTTAGCGTCTCATCAGCCACCCATGTCACAGCAGATGCATGATGTGATATGGCCACTCAAACTGGGGTATCAAAGGATCCGACAAATTCACTACTATGTCGTGTATGTATATAACATATGTATGCATGCATGCATGCATGTGTGTATATGTATAATTAATATATATATATATATACATAATTATATATATACACATAATTGTATGTGTAGATGAACCATTTGTAACCATTTAAACAAAAAACAAACACATTGAATGAACCATCAAGTTCTAATATAATTTCCACATAACCATTCCACCGAGCCTCGAGAGGCCCTGGGGAACACCCCTTCCGTCCCCGCGGCACCCTGCCTTTCTTGACATCCCAGTGTCCCAACCTCAGAATCATCCCGCGGCCCAGAAATGCTTCGCAAAAAGCGAGACTCAGTGCTTTGAATTTGAATCCATAAATAAAAGCTGGTAAAAAAATGGCAGTACCACATATATAGTCAATATAAGTCAACACTGGTAAATGATGCCCCAGTATGCGAATGGCAATAAAGGAACTTACCATAACTTACATCATTTTCCCCAGCCACGAGGATAATCATCCAACATCATCCAACGCATCCTGTTCGGCGCTGCCGAGATACTCCTCGCAGGAACCGACCACCGACACGTGGTCGCCCATGCCAGTCCAAGCGCAAACCTGGATTTAATACGCAGCCGATCCATAGAGAGTGAGGGAACATAAGAGAAACAGTGGGAGATGGTGGGAAACCTATGCTCCGATGTTCGGTACGGATATAGAATCATATTGCACGTGTTCAGACACCTATGCAATTCTATGCTAATTAGGATGTTCTGGAATTCGTCCTGGGAGCGTGAAATGAGGGACCTGACCGCCTGTGATCCTCAAAAGAATGACCTGTGTACGTTGTGATAGGCTTAAGCGGGAATAGTGTGAGAATTCCCACCAGCAGCAGCAGATTCACCAATGGGAAGATTTGCAACACCATAGACATGTTCAAAAATGTTGGTCTGGAATCTGGAATGGTCTAGACGTGTTTCTCAAAGCTATACGTCAAGTTGATGAGCTCCATTTTCCATTTCAATAGCCTGACTACTTCTGATTACTAATCACCAACAGTCTGGAAAAAATGACAATATCCAGAAACATGATCAAATAGTGGTCCCATATCTAGGGTTTATGGAGGTTGTATCTATAGTTACTATGGTTTGTAAAGCAACTTATAACTGGTTTATAAACCAACACGTCTCCCAATTCTGGGAAGCAATCCCTCCATGGATGAGGCATAGCTAAACCTGCGGAATCCCAGAGACTCGGACAACTTTGAAGTGGAGTTCATCTTGGAAGCCTGAGAGTGATGGTGTACGAGTATCAGTTCCATGAATATGATATAATTAATAATATACTGTAATATTATATATAAATAATTTAAATATAATATATATATATATTATATAAATATTATATTATATGTATGTAGTAGTATCCACCCAAAAAGTGACTATTGGGTTCTCTTTATTGCTATATTAGTAGGCATTTGCCAAAGGATTGCTAAAAGTCAACAACACCATATCATCAGCTACGCGTTGCAAACAGCTCACTTGATCCAAAGTCTATTTGGCAAAGATCCTGAAAAAAAAAACAGGTGGTTTCAAGTGAGCAAGGTCAAAACTTGTGTTAAATCCCCTTTTGGATTTTGGGGGATTGGAAATTCCACAACAGAATCCAAAAGATAGATGTGCAATGATGTGCATATAAATATCATGTGTTTATTTGTTTAATTCCCGTAAGACATGAGACTATACATGTCCAGCCAAACATCCACATGCCTCTGGCATAAGCAAAACACGCTCTAGGGGTGGAAAAAACTCAGGCAACGGGGGTGGTGAGCTCGCAATAGGGCGAGCTTGCCATAAGTGTGTGGGTCCGGCTCTGCCAGGGATCTCTTGTCACAATCGACCCTCACCTGGGCCTCTGGTCAATGTCCTGGGCCCCGTGCCTGCTGTCCCGCTGGCCACTTTGTTTTTTGGGGTCGCCGGGATCGGCACCGCCTCATGTGCAGCCGGGTAAACCGATCCAGGACGGGCTTTACGGAAAATGAATGAAAATGAGATGCGATACAATATGATACAATCCAAATGAGCTGGGAAAAGGATGGGAAATTATGGAAACTGTCGACCGCCACAGACCAAGAACTGATTTGACCACTTGATGTTTTTACTAGACCTGAACCGTAACCCCCTTGAATTTAGTACAGGCTCGACCCTTTCACCCAACTTAGTACAGGCTCGACCGTTTCACCCAACTAGCCATGGGTAAACCTGGACATAATCCGCGGTCATGGATCACAATTAGCAACCCCTACATTTGTCTCCTGGAAATCGCTAAAACTTTGCCAAATCATGGAACATGATCGGAGTAGGAAAATCATGTCTGCAAACCCCAGAATCTCAGAGGCATTACTGATTAGTGGCCGCGGTTCCCATGCTGCACCAATTTAGAATCTTGATGAAAAATATGGTATTAGTCTAAGCCCATATATATGGCCATCAACCACAAAGGATGGACTAGGGGACTGGGTTGCACATAATGGCGTACATCAAAAATTGGTAACCAGGATGGTTATTGCCAAAAATGACTGAACTATGTGGTGCGCTGGGCCTTAAATTTGACCAATTGCCTTTGCTCAGGTTCGTTGGCGAGCTACTACCGCCAATAGAGATGAAGGGATTATAATAGATTTATCATGATGAAAAAAACAGCAAATCTGAATATAGATGGAACATGTCTGGCACCCAAGATCTGGAAACTGGAATTTATGTGTTCTCATGCTGTTGCTTCCAATATTTGTCCTTTAGCTAATCGTGTATCCCGTATTCAACCATAATGTTGTTCTTACCATTCCTGCATGTTTTTGTTCAGCCATCTTTAACAGTTCTAGTCTGGTAAAGGGATGTAAAGGGTAATAAGTGGAAAGCTTTGCTTACCAGCAAGCAAGCAGATTGCACAAGTGGCTGGCTTTCCAGTAGCCTCATTGGCTCATTCCCCCTAAAAAGGTGGAACATGAAGAATCTGCCGCTTACTGCTGTCCTCAAACACTGGGCCACTTCTTCAATTGCTTGGGTATGCATACATAAATATACATGCATGTGCATTTAAACTATGATAACATATGTACATTATATAGGACTCTTTTGGGCTTCCAGCCAATGGTCCGTCCTTCACTGATTCCCCAAACTTGGCACTTCTGGATTTTTGCCCCTTGTCCTCTCTTGTGTGCTGTCTTTCGCGGCTTTCAGCCAATACACATAATCCACAGCGATGATTTGCGGAGCTGGTTGTACAAATGGTGGAATGATGAAATTGAAAGTGTATATGTGCATGTATAATATACATACATATATATATTAATATACATATATATATATATTAATATAAATATATATATATATATTAATATAAATATATATATATATTAATATAAATATATATATATATTATATACACATACAATATCATACAATTGGATACATTATTAAGCAATTTACATACACTTCATGTAAGCAAGTGGCAAAGAAAATGAAAAGGTTTGGGTATACCCCATCTTGGACAGAAAGCGACACGGGTCGGTAAAGCAGCGAGCCGATATTCCTATCATCCAGCTGTTATTTTTCCTGCACTCCACCAGCAGCAGCCACTCTCAGCTGCCCGACATACTCTTTGACCTCATCCTCAAATGAGGTTTTCCGAGATCTTCCGCTCGCAAGCCTTCACAAAATGATTTTGCGGCGTGCTGGCGACCATCCCATATAAATTCATGAACACTGCAGGAATGTTGAACCAAGACAATATCACAACAATTTCCTTCAAACTGCATGTCAAGAAAACAAAACAGTATCAATATTCCATGATATTCTATGTACTGATATACAATTGATATACACATAGAACATGTATTGATCTTACATATAAATAACATTAAATAACCCTTAATGGGCATCATGCTGACCGTCACGGCACTCACCCAATGCCTCGGCACATACGAAGGGTCCTTCACGCCAAAAATGGGAGTGGCGGGCCTCGACCCAATCGACTGAGTGAGAAAAAAACAAATCAGGCAATCTAGACCCCCAAAATCAGCATGGTATAAACTTAGTATAAACAATTAACAAACTTCGGAAATTTTGGATGTCCCCTGTTTTGAGACTACGTCGTACTACGTGCTGGTCGGACTTTGTGGATGTGATGATGTGATCTATCTAGATTGTTTTCCTTCACGTGTCATCTCAGATAAATAATCTAGCATTACAGCATTGCTCTATTAATTGCATTGTACAGATTCTTCACAAGAGACAGGTTTTGGATGGTTTTGGGGCACTCGTCGGTGATGATCACCAAGCAAACATACAAGCAAGCAATAGGGCCAGGGAATAAGTCAAGCACCATTAGTTCAACATGCTACATATGACCTGACTTGAAATTGTTTCACTTGATAACTATGTTTGCAAATATGTGCGTAATGATTGTTATTGAAACATCCCAAAGAATGAGGGCATTTGGTCTTGACACGTACCCACGTGGAAAGACAATGCACCGTAGTACTTGAAACAAACACCCAAGGAGTGGCCAAACCCTTGGCGGTTGACTCAAATTAGAGTTGCCATAGATCCACTTAGTACCAGTCAATCTGGCTGAATAAAAATACTTAATTCACTACAGTACCCTGAAAATCGGAGTTGTCGTTCGGCCATTTGGGGATGACTCCCCCAATCCCAAGAATCATTCCAGTGACGTCACGACGTGGGCTCGTTCTCCAACAATTCAGCTCCAGTACCTTCCTGACCAAGTGGCTCTCCGGATTCACCGTTTCGGGTGACCACTCCGTCGTCGGTTACCGCAAAGTACCGGTTGTCCCCTAGAGGTTCTGTGCACCAGGAGAGGGTTGTGGGTTGAATTGGGGCTGTCTGATAATCTGAAACCCGCCCTGCAAAAAAGATAGGATGGTTTGCGAGTTGGGGGTCGAGGATTCTTCTGCACCGACCGTCTTCAACAACAGTGGTATTCTATGATATTCTATGGTATTCTATGGTATTCTTGCTGAGATAGTTCATCTCCCTGAACTGGATGGGGGGACAAATCTACATTAAAGCTCCACTCTCAATAGAACAAAATCAGATCCTGTGAAAATTACAAACAAAAGCATAGCCAACCCAACTTGATCATCCTTATATTCCCGTAGAATAAAATCCCCAGTAATCATTTGTTCCTGTCTTGGGTGCCAGGCCTTCCTCCCACACTGCATTTTGAAATTCGTCAAATTTGACGAACTTGTACTCCTTGGTTTCTCAAGTTCAGGCGATCTCCACCTATCACCACCCCTCAAACATGATTTCGTACACCATCATTGGGGTGTAAGCTGCTTCATTGCATTGAATCGCCCAAAAACATTGCCATTTTCTGGAGTCCACTTTGGGATTTTCAAGTCACAGAATGGATACTTTGATATCTATAAGGCATCCTCAGGTTGATTTTTTGGATCTGTTTCAGGCCAAGAGATTGCCTGAACTCAAGATCCTCAGCATGTCTCGCCTGAAACTATATTATATATACATATTATATATTATATATCAAATTAAATATATATATATATAATATTATATATTATAATATATATATATATTACTGGTATTAAATTATATATATAATATTATATATTATGTATTAAATTAAATAGTCTATATCATAAATAAAATATTATATTATATTAAATTATATTATATTATATATTATATATTAAATATTAAATATTATATATTATATATTATATATTGTTATATAATAATTTGAAAATTATATTATTTTTTTTATATTATATATTAAATACTATATTAAATATTCTATAATTATATGATATTATATTGTATTATATTGCATTATATTATATGAAACATTATATAATATATAATATATAATATATAATATAAAATAAATATATATATATATATATATTAAATATTTAAAAATAAAAAAATATTAAAATTAAATATTATATTATTACTATTATTATTATATATATAATAGACTATATATTAATATTATAGATTATATATTATTTTGTATCTCTATTATATAAATTATAATATATATTATATTATATTATGTTATATATTATATTATAATATATTTAATATTATATTTTATATTTTATTAAATTATATGATATGAAATTATATTATATTAAATATTAAATTTCATTAAATTGTATTATATTATATTGTATTATATTAAATATTATATAATATCTATTATATATTATATATTATATTATATATATTATATATTATATTAAATCATACTATATATATTATATTATATTAATATTATATTATTTTATTTTATTTTACATTATATAAAATATGTTATATATATATATATTACACATTATATATCATATATTATTTAATATATATATATATATTATAAAATATATTATATATTATACATTATATATAATATAATATATTATATATTATATATATATTAGACTATATATATATTATATATATATTATATATAATATATTATATATATTAAATCTTATATTAAAAATTATATGCTATATATCCTTGATCTCAAACTTGGCAGAAATTTGTCGATATTCTCCGTCTACTGTGAATTCCGCCAGGATCTCCTGCCTGCAGAGCCTGCAGTCTGTGTTCCAGTTCAGTCAACAATTGCGGCCTGAATGGTGATCCATACATGTGAAAATCAATGTTGAAACATATTTATATATATATATATATGTGGGTGTGTTTAACCTATATCTGTATGTATATATTGTAGACGTGCATATTATCTTTGTTTGTACCTAATGTCTCCTTGGCAAACTTACAAAATACTCATGATTGCAAACCATCCAACGGACATAAGCCCAGTAAGAGTTCATCCCTGCCGTTTGGTTTCTGTTTCCAAACGGCCCCAATGCCCGTCCCTCACTCATAACCAAGGCTCGGTGGGCACCTCAGAGTTAAAACTAGGACGGACATCACAATCAGAATGGTGGAGTTTCACGGAACAACATGTGTTGGATATTGGCCAACCAAAATTGGAAATTGAACAGCTAACATTTGGACATTCAGCAACAAAAAGACAATTTTTTTAGCATCCAAAATTCTCACGGAGGCCCAGCTCTCAGCGGTATGGGACGACTGGTGGAACTTAAGTTCCTTATTATGGCTTAAACAATGCATGACCGTTGCATGACGGATAGATAACGGCTAGATCACTTGAACTAATTGGTGGGAGGGGATACTTCACTATTTGTGAAGCATGAACCACATCGCCACTGTTGGTCACTCAACCAAAATGTATCTTCCAGACCGTGCAACAGGGATTCAAATGCATCAAATCAATGCATACAAGCCTTGTCAAAGTGTGAATGCAGTGGTTCTTCCAAACACATCAGTCATTGTGGTAAAACTTGGAGTGCCCAGTACTATATGTACATATAATTACTATACAAATCTATACAATACTATATATACGTATATACTACTGCATCCCGATATGTTTGGAATAGTTGTATCTAAAGCATGCCCCCCTTGTAAGTAGTATACAGCGTATAGACCCTGTGCTGTGTGCTTAACCTCCATATGATTGCAACAATTTCTTTTCGGAAACCAATGTTTCTTGTTGCTTCGCTTCCCAATAGTTCCAACATGTTCAAACTGTGCCCCCGTAATTCTTGATGTCTACGTCCCAAATGTCCACCCCTTCACCGCCTTTGGCCGTTTTGCACAGCTTGGCGCTCCCCACCGCTCGGCATTGAATGTTCCCAAACCATTTGGGATATTCCGAAGCCTGGCGCAACTTTAGTTGAACAAATCCATGGCATAGAATAAATCACATGACAGCCATTGGAATCTAATGTATTCTGGAAGAGTTGATTCTTTGAACCAACGCATGTCTGAGTTCATTCAACAACAACATCAATCTTGTCACTGAAGGGATGTCGCATCCAATCTCCTTAAATCATACTGCATCATTCCAAGATATCTCCAAACCCGCCAGGCGGACATCTGTGGTGAGGGCTGGTGCCCTGGCCGGATTCCAGTTGCCAAGCCTGGCGCAGTTGCTGGCGGAACCATGGGGCACCAAAACTGGCTGAGAAAAACATGGAAAACTACTGTCCCCATGATTTTGGATGTTTAAATGTTGTCTTTGGATGTCTTTAAGTCTTTGAAAGGTACAGTAATCAAATGGAGTCAACAAAGGCACGCCGCCAACCACAACTGGGAACATGACGAAACCTTCTCAAACTCATGGGCCCATGGGGCCCCAACATCCACACAATCCATGCCAAAGTGGCGCGTCACAGTCGCCCACCACTCGTATACTGTAGCCGAAGATGGTTTCGGCCCTGCACGAAAAAGCCTGGGCGCTGCAGAAGTCCGTTGTACTTGTCTCAAAATGGGGCCCAGAGTGGGCGATGATAACCTAGATGGAATGGGCACAAAGGCACGGAGACCCAGCGGGTGTACTCAGTTCAGGGTTAGATCATGTTAGATCTGTTTGGAGCATTCCCCAATTTATATCAATCTGGGGATCGAAGTTGGTGCGAATTGTTAGATCCACGGGAAGATTTTTGCGACGTTGGATCCCTCCGAACTGTTGGTTACTTGAATTCGGACCCTGCTGCTGTAATTCTACCCAAGTCATCCTAAGCCATTCCTTTTCCATATGTTTCCATGGATCTCTCATACTTTCTCACCACAGACGGAAGGGCCAAACAACCAAAGTATCGAAGCCATACATTTCAAGAAATAATGTGAGAGTAACCATCAGCAAATTTACCATAGATGGGTGGTGTATGTGGTGTAAACCATCAAAATATGGGTCTGGGTAAACTATTATAATTCACGAACCTGAAATAAAACTATCTTGGGGATATTTACACCATATACATTCACCATGATTCCAGTGAGGTCATGACGTGGGGTCACTATATAATATGTAGCTTAGTGTAGCCCAGTTGTAGTTGTAGTTGTATAGTGTAGTGGAGTTGTAGTTGCAGTGTAGTGTAATTAGTGTAGTGTAGCCGTAGTCGCAGTTGCAGTTTAGCTGTGGTGTGGCGTAGCTAGTGTAGTGTAATGTAGCGTAGTGTAGTGTACTGTAGTGTTTTGTACCGTAAAGTAGTATAGTGCAGTGTAGTCTGGTGTAGTGTAGTGTAAAGTAGTGTGGTTGTAACTGTAGCTGTACTTGTAGTTGTAATGTAGTGTAGCGTGTAATTAGTGTAGTGTAGCGGAGTTGTAGCTGCAGTGTTGTGCAATGCAATGTAGTGAAGTTTTCATCGTAATTGCAATTGTAGCTGTTGTAGTAGTTGTAGTAGTAGCAGTAGTAGTAGTAGTAGTAGCAGTAGCAGTAGCAGTAGGTGGTGGTGGTGGTGGTGGTGGTGGTGGTGGTAGTAGTAGTAGTAGTATTGGTGGCGGTAGTAGTAGTAGTAGTAGTAGTAGTAGTAGTAGTAGTAGTAGTAGTAGTAGTAGTAGTACTAGTAGTACTAGTAGTACTAGTAGTACTAGTAGTACTAGTAGTACTAGTAGTACTAGTAGTACTAGTAGTACTAGTAGTACTAGTAGTACTAGTAGTACTAGTAGTACTAGTAGGACTAGTAGTACTAGTAGTACTAGTAGGACTAGTAGTACTAGTAGTACTAGTAGTACTAGTAGTACTAGTAGTACTAGTAGTACTAGTAGTACTAGTAGTACTAGTAGTACTAGTAGTACTAGTCGTACTAGTCGTACTAGTCGTACTAGTCGTACTAGTCGTACTAGTCGTACTAGTCGTACTAGTCGTACTAGTCGTACTAGTCGTACTAGTCGTGCTAGTCGTGCTAGTCGTACTAGTCGTACTAGTAGTACTAGTAGTACTAGTAAGACTAGTAGTACTAGTAGGACTAGTAGGACTAGTAGGACTAGTAGGACTAGTAGGACTAGTAGGACTAGTAGGACTAGTAGGACTAGTAGTACTAGTAGTACTAGTAGTACTAGTAGTACTAACTAGTAGTACTAACTAGTAGTACTAGTAGTACTAGTAGTACTAGTAGTACTAGTAGTAGTAGTAGTAGTACTAGTAGTACTAGTAGTAGTAGTAGTACTAGTAGTACTAACTAGTAGTACTAGTAGTACTAGTAGTACTACTAGTAGTAGTAGTAGTACTACTAGTAGTAGTAGTAGTACTACTAGTAGTAGTAGTAGTACTAGTAGTAGTAGTAGTAGTCGTACTAGTAGTACTAGTAGTAGTAGTAGTACTACTAGTAGTAGTAGTAGTACTAGTAGTACTAGTAGTAGTAGTACTAGTACTAGTAGTAGTAGTAGTAGCAGTAGTAGTAGTAGTACTAGTAGTACTAGTAGTAGTAGTAGTAGTAGTAGTAGTACTAGTAGTACTAGTAGTAGTAGTAGTAGTAGTAGTAGTACTAGTAGTAATAACTAGTAGTACTAGTAGTACTAGTAGTAGTAGTAGTAGTAGTAATACTAGTAGTAGTAGTAATACTAGTAGTAGTAGTAGTACTACTACTAGTAGTAGTAGTACTAGTAGTAGTAGTAGTACTAGTAGTAGTAGTAGTAGTACTAGTAGTAGTAGTAGTACTAGTAGTACTAGTAGTACTAGTAGTACTAGTAGTACTAGTAGTACTAGTAGTACTAGTAGTACTAGTAGTAGTACTAGTAGTACTAGTAGTACTAGTCGTACTAGTCGTACTAGTCGTACTAGTCGTACTAGTCGTACTAGTCGTACTAGTCGTACTAGTCGTACTAGTAGTACTAGTAGTACTAGTAGTACTAGTAGGACTAGTAGGACTAGTAGGACTAGTAGGACTAGTAGGACTAGTAGGACTAGTAGGACTAGTAGGACTAGTAGGACTAGTAGGACTAGTAGGACTAGTAGGACTAGTAGTACTAGTAGGACTAGTAGGACTAGTACTGACTAGTAGGACTAGTAGTAGTAGTAGTACTAGTAGTAGTAGTAGTAGTAGTAGTAGTAGTAGTACTAGTAGTAGTAGTAGTAGTACTAGTAGTAGTACTAGTAGTACTAGTAGTACTAGTAGTAGTAGTAGTAGTAGTAGTAGTAGTACTAGTAGTAGTAGTACTACTAGTAGTAGTAGTACTACTAGTAGTAGTAGTAGTACTACTACTAGTAGTAGTAGTACTACTAGTAGTAGTAGTAGTACTAGTAGTAGTAGTAGTAGTAGCAGTAGTAGTAGTAGTATTAGTAGTAGTAGTAGCAGCAGGAGTAGTAGTAGTAGTAGTAGTAGTAGTAGTTGTGGTGGTGGTGGTTGTAGGTGTAGTGTAATCAGTGTAGTGTAGTGTAATGTACGGGTACAAACCATCAAGATATGGGTCCCATGGGTGGTCTATGACATCGGCCAAGGCACCAGTGTCACTTCCTCGCCCATGATTCAACAGAGCCCGCCCAAAATGGAACGGGTTGATGGCGCAACTTGCGAGAAAATGGCTGCGGGACCAACAAGGACAAGATAAATAAAACACCATGTATATATATATATATGTATACGTATATACCCATGACCTTGAATGGTTATATAAGTTATATTTATATATATATATACATATTCATATGTGTCTGTGTTGTTGATCAACACAATTTCATCTAGGCATAGCCCTTCTTCACGGAAACAACAACGTCACCAGTGTGTTTTTGATGCTTTGATGCATGTGGGGGTCGATTTCTCAATAACATATATGGACATGATAGACGTGATATTGTGATCCGACGGTAAGATATTTAAGTTAAAGACACCATTATCATTACCCCATCATTTTCCCAAGGCGAAATGCTGTTGATCTCGGCAGTGCTCGTGTGAAACTGAAGTCAGACGACGGAGACCTGGCCGTGGCAGCTTTGCTGCTGGGACCGGCTGAGACCTGGCCGTGGAAAACAGAATTGCCAGGCATCCAGCCCATCAAGCAGCTTTGCTGCTGGACCTGGCCGCGCAATGGACATGGCTAAAGTGGGTGGTCCCCTATCGGTGGTGAAGCGATACGTATCGGTTGTGACTGTTTTCGCACAAATCTTAACATCCCATGTCACTCCCCACTAATTACTGTAGTCTTCCGCTAATTTTCTCGCCTACTCATATGGCTAAATGATTATACTGGTTGGTGGTTTCACCCCCTCTGAAAAATATTAGTCAGATTGGATCATCATCCCAACTATTGGGGGAAAAAACCTTTTCCAAACCACCAACCAGTATAATAATATATCATAACAATATATCATACTAATAAGTATATATATATTATTATATACAGTATATATCATACGTATCTTGATATATATATATACTATATATACGTGTATATATATAGATATATAATGTTGAATACTCCTTAGACCCCCAGGAACATCTTCCAATCAAACGCCAGAGAGGCATTGGCCGAAATTCTTGGCGTCGTGTGCCAGCGCGGACCCTGGCAGTCAAATGAGGTGCTGAGGTGCTGAGATAAGCTCCACAAAAGACGACTACCCTCTGGTTATTTAACATAGCCATGGTATAGACGGCCCATTTATAGATGAATTTCCTAGCTATAAACCTCCACTTATAAGGGATTTTCCATGGCTATGTTAAATAATCAGATGGTAACACAACATTGCAGTGATACCGGCAGTTCAAATGTGTCCACATGTGGCCACATACTGTTCCTCTCGCCAAAAGTGGACCAAATATTCAGTACATGTCAAACCAATTTTGTTTGATGGCGATGTGTAAAAATGGCAACATTTCTCATTTGCTGGGCAAAGGGCTCCGTCTTGTTCTTCCTCTCGAAGTCGCGGGAGGACTTCTTTGCCTTACGTTTGAAGCAGAAGGAGTCAAGAGTGGGAAGATTTTTCATAATTAATATATTCCAATGACATTTCGGTGTTGGTCCATTTGCTTCCACGACCAGGCCGATTAGCCTTAAAAGTGGACTGGAAAAAAGGCAGTTTGTGGGATTACAACTTGGGCAACTGGAGTTTTGGGATACTTTCTCATACACTCTGGTAATTTAACATAGCTATTGAAAATAGCCATTTATAGTGGATTTTCCCATTAAAAATGGTGATTTTCCATAGTTATGATGTTAGTTTACCAGAGGGTACCTCAAGATCATCGAGCTGTCCATCCTACCTCCAATCTATGGACTGTACCACTGCTGCAAGGTGTTACAGCTGTCCTCTTGCCTCGGATCCTTTGCTTACAGAACGTGTCCTCTTCTCAAACAAAGGATAGAAAAGGTACATATGTCCCATCCCAAAGAAAGTAGGACATTGAAATTCTGGAGTCCCTCAACAGTCCACTTGAATCCACGTGATTCACTAGATCCACATTAATTGAACCATCAGTGACCATCCAAAAACTGAGAGATCGTGCGTGGATGTGGCCAGATCCTCGGGCCTCGGGATCCCAAAATGTTGAGGAATATATATATATATAATATATATATATAATATATTATATATATATTATATATATTATATATATATTATATATATATCATATATATTGTATTATATATATATATATATATCACCTTTGACATGCTGAAAGAAAAACGACAACTCTATACAACTCTTCTATTTCTGGGAGGATCCGATAAACTCCCCCCCAAGACCCATCTTGGATTGCATATTTTATCCTTATTTACAGTTTCTTAGAGCAACTTGTGCATCAAAAAACATACACCTATTTTGTCGTGATGTTTCTATGTTGTTTGCTACCTTCTTGCTTTGAAAAGACACATTGAATTAGTCTCTATGCTTGCAAGTGGACATCAACCCCCTCCCCCCAAAAAAGGTCCTGGGGACCCTGAATTTGAAAAAAAAAACTCGAGATTACCAAACAAACAGCCAAATAGAAAATAATGTACCGGAGGTCTTGGGGATGAAAGGGGTCCAGCTAAGATTTTCAGAATACTGTTTCTTGTTTGATATGTGTTGTTGGTTTTCTCGTTTTCTTTTCCATTGGGAGTTCCCCAAAGAATCTTGGATTTTTTTTTTTTGTGGGTTTCTCTTTGATTTTCTCATTTATTTTTTCTATATGAACAGCAAACCTAGGACATTGTCCCATGACTAGTTGAGACAATGATGACATTGCCAGGTGTGTTGCATTGATGACGCAGGGAGACGCATGACATTGAGGATAGTTTCTGGGTGGTAATCATATATATATAATATGTATACTGTACAAATAATATAAGTACTTATATAAGTGCTATATAAGTACTATATAAGTTATAGTACTATATAAGTTATATAGAGTACTATATAAGTACTATATGTGTATTATATCCTCTCCCACAGATCAGCATACATCGTTTTTTCCGAGCAACGTTTCGCGGTTTCGCCTCATCATCTTCCTCATTGGCATCCCCGTCCGCTGCGTAGTACCTGTTCTTTGGGGCTCCCATAGTGGCGGCCATGGTGAACACTCCGAAGCCCCCCATGGCATATCAGGGGGAAGGGATTGCAAAACAGAACTTCTAATTTTAACCCATCCCAAGAATGTAAACCAATCATGTCAACCAAGCATCCCCAGTATGGTTAAACAATGTCCTTTGAACCCCCCCAACTAGCTATATTTGGTTATATATTCACGCTTTAGTTGGTCTTATAACTCCATTGCGGTGATCTTTCATTCCTCTATATTCCCATGACATTCCAATGTTTGATTCATAAACATGATCCTGCACCAAGCAATGTCTCGGGCACTCGTAAGACACATTGGAAGTGGCTGGGGACTTGTCACCATGGTCGAAAGCCTGGCGACACATCGCTAAATCATGGTTTGCCCACTGCATGTATGTAAATATATATATATAATTATATGTGTATATATATATATATGTGTATATATATGTGTGTGTGTATGGTGCTCCCCCGGAGATCTACCTTAAAGATCTTAAAGCAATTTATAACATATATATATATAAAATATCATATAATATATAATTATGTATATGGAAAAACGATGAATTACTTTACTTCGTGTGATCCCCACCATGACATTTATACATTTTCTTACTGGCAAATCTTCTGGCATTCTATCTGACATATCTTCTGACATTCTATTTGACATTCTATCTGGCATATCTTCTGGCAAATGATCTGGCATATGGCTTCTGGGCTATCTGGCAATCTTCTGGCATTCTCTGGCATATCTTCTGGCTGGCATATCTTCTGGCATTTCTGGCATTCTATCTGGCAAATCTTCTGGCATTCTATCTGGCATATCTTCTGGCATCTGACATATCTTCTGGCATTCTATCTGGCATATCTTCTGGCATATCTCTGGCATATCTTCTGGCATATCTTCTGGCATATCTTCTGACATTCTATCTGGCATATCTTCTGGCATATTTTCTGGCATTCTATCTGGCAAATCTTCTGGCATTCTATCTGGCATTCTATCTGGCATATCTTCTGGCATATTATCTGGCATTCTATCTGGCATATCTTCTGGCATATATTCTGACATATCTTCTGGCATTCTATCTGGCATTCTATCTGGCATTCTATTTGCCATTCTATCTGGCATATCTTCTGGCATATCTTCTGACATTCTTTCTGACATTCTTTCTAACTTTCTTCTGCACATTCTTTGTCCCATATCTTCCTACATGAGGTCCGGCAGGGAACACTTGGCGTGGATACTCGCGGTTGATGTCCGGCAGGGAACACTGGGCGTGGATGGTCGTGGTTGAGGTCCGGCAGGGAACACTGGGCGTGGATGGTCGTGGTTGAGGTCCGGCAGGGAACACTGGGCGCGGATGGTCGTGGTTGAGGTCTGGCAGGGAAGACTGGGCGTGGATGGTCGTGGTTGAGGTCCGGCAGGGAACACTGGGCGTGGGTGGTCGTGGTTGAGGTCCGGCAGAGAACACTGTGGATCGCGAGTCGCAGTTGAGCCAGGACGACGAGGACGACAAGGACGACAAGGACGACAAGGATGACAAGGAGGACGAGGAGGAGGAGGAGAGGAGGACGAGGCAGGAGGAGGCGGAGGAGAAGGAGGAGGCAACTGACATAAAATCTAACAACCCTCACCTGGCAGGTGGGGAAAAACCATGAAAACCCTGGGGTTCGTAGATGTGAATTACCTCAAAGCAAAAACTGGTGATTTGTTGGATTTTTCTTGGGCTAGCCAATCGTCTGCAACACGGCAAAGCAGCACACTTCCAGTTTCCGTCTCTTTCGTACAATGCCAGCAGGTCATGAAACTGGACCAGCCCCTGGTAGTTGATGAACAATTGGTAGATCGAATAATGTCCAGTGATCCTAACTATAAATAAATAAATAATATATATATATATATCATATATACTTCATATATATATATATATAAATCAATCAAATATAGTGTGTGTATATATATATACATATATATATATATCATTAAATATATTGTAATATATTGTATATATACATATATATATATATATATATCATTATATATCCATATAGCCGATACTTTCAGAGCACTTCTTGTGGCTCTGATGATGGCCGTGACTTTCGCCAGAGATCTGGCCAAACAGTTTTACTGCTTGGTGGTATACCTAGCCTCAGTTGGGATGATGACATTCCCAATATATGAAATGGGAAGGAAAAATATGGAAAAATATGGAACATATGAAATGGAAAGGATGACATCCCATTTATGAAATGGAAAAATATGGAAAAATAAAATTCATGTTCCAAACCACCAACTAGTTTCTAATATTTTCTAATTGCAGGTTAAATTCTGTCGGATCTGAAACCGACCACAGAATGCGCCACCTCATCTTCCTCATCCAGCAGTTCCTCGTCCTGATCACGGATGAGTTCAAATCCACAGAGCTTAAAGCTGATGGCTGAATCCCTCCTGCAGTCCATGCCACCTTGGGAATCGATCAATTATAGTGACATCATGAGACATCATGAGACATCATGCAACATCATGCAGCATCATGGAAAATCATAGAGAAACAAAGTTCTCAGAACAACATTTCGCAAACACGTCTCCTCTTCCTCGCGGAGCCGCTCTTCCTCTTCAAGGCGGAGCCTCTCCTCCTTGCCACAGGCGACTTCAAGTCTACTGTTTGAAATTGATTGCGGATTTAGTATGGTTTAGTGACACAATCAACACCACAGACAGGCAAAACATGGACCCCAAATGAAGATTTCTGGTCATGTTTCTTGATCCTTTGGGACCCGGGAAATCCACCCTCCTTCTGCAAACATGTCTCCTCTTCCTCGCGGAGCCGCTCTTCCTCTTCAAGGCGGAGCCTCTCCTCCTCCTCCAACCGAAGTCGCTCTTCCTGATGGCAGCTGGCTCAAGAATCTAGCTTGGTTTCCCTCAATCAAGTTAAGATTTGAGAGCCAACAAAGCCTAAAGTCAGCCAAGCTTGAATCTCTTGGCCTCATGATTTTCTTCACAATCTCTGGTAATCAAAGCCGGCAATTTGTACATAATTCCCATCATCATTTCATTTCCATGTTTTCCATGTTTTCCATGCTCCCATTAGCATTTTCAAACTTCCATCAATTGACCCACGTTTTCCCAGCTTTTTCGGCCTCAGCCTCCTCAGCCAGAAGCATCTCCTCCACGATCTCGTCGACATCCAGCGCGTCTGGATCTCAGCGTCTCTTGGGATCCAATTGATCTTTGGAGAACCACTTACCCGGCCTGGTAAACATGCAAAAAGCTATTGAAAATGGCCATAGAAATAGATGAAATAGTGAAGTTTCCCATTAAAAATGATGATTTTCCTTGTTTTTTTTAAATGTTTACCAGAGGGGTACTTACACTAGTGCTGACAGAGGCCCCTTGAGGGATGACTGGCGCCGCCAATGATTTGACATATCATTAAAATATCAAATACCCTCTGGACATTTAACATAGCGAAAATCACGATATCAAAGATTAACTGTAAATTATTATGGCCATTAAATGGGTGCCATGTTCAGTAGCTATACTAAATTACTAAATTACTGGAAGGTGTCATAGGTAAACACCATCACATCCATAGCTATCAAGACAGGACAGGATTGGGGTAGGACTTCGCCATCCCATCAACGCGCCTGGCCATGGACTCACCAGCCACCAACTCGTAAGTTTAGCAGTGGGGTCCTACTGTAGTTTCTGCCCAGGCAATACGGGGAACGCAGATGCAAAAAAGGGAGTCTTGCCCCCCAAAAAAACGAGTCTCAATCCCATCCCTTGCCACTGAGGCTGGCACTTGGTTGGGACCTGAGAGTGCCAAGAGAGCCTGCGAAATCTCCCTGGTTTTTTGATGCATTGGATCACCTCACAGGTTTACTTGAAAATTGGGTACCGCATTCAGCATTCATGTTACCCTCTGGTTGTTTAACATAGCTATTGAAAATGGCCATTTATAGTGAGTTGTCCCATTAAAAAAGGTGATTTTCAATAGCTATGTTAAATAACCAGATGATACCGGATGGTAATTTCCTCTGAAACGATGAAAACTGCATGTCATCTCAGAGCGCTTTTTTTCACATCATCTGAGATCGTCACTCATCTGCGACCACCTTAGATCACCCATAGTGGAGCAGCTGGTTTCATCAGCCATAATAGACCACCATGGCAGCAGTAATGTGATAAATCATGAAGAAATCAAAACAACAAACCATCCCAACAACTTCCAGAAACGGCTTGTCCAGAATCAAAGATTCGGTGTTGGGTTCCGTTTTGCTCTATGGATGTATTTAGCATCTTGATTGGGTGGCACACAATGGATTTTAAGCATGAAACAACTACACATCACATTGAAACCCGAGGACATACCCACCTTCTGGATACCCTTGGCGCTTGCCGAGGATTGATGTCATCACGGCCAAGTTACCCATGCTGCAACCACCGTAATATCATCTTGCTTCCTAAGCCAGGCTGGGCCCTCCAGGCTCCCCCCCTGAAGGCTTGCCAACCTCCAGTGACTTAGAGTGCTTTACCTTAACTCATCTGGAATGATATATCCACCATGAATCCAATGGTTAGCCTGCCTAGTTCTAAAGATTCTAAACCGGCTACTGGTTTGGGGGACCCTTTCTATGTTGACAAAGCCAGAAGATTCAACCAGAAAATGTGTCCAAGAAAACTGCGGAGTCAGGAGCTAAATGGGCGGGGTGCAAGAGAGTCAGTGTTCAGGCTGTTTAGGTTAATATGCAATGTATATGATATCCACATGTATATACACATATTATCCCCCATCAAAATTGTAAAATATTAATTGGCAATCAACCAACCATCCCCACTTATTGTTTTGAATCCCTATACGACTTTGTGAAAATCATTGAACACGTGATGCCCGTAAAATTCACTGCTCTGTCACATGTTTTCCTGGTCAACATGCCCATTCTCTGGGGTTTTCCGTTGTTTTTAGACACACCCGTGCCAGTGTCGTTAAAACCAGCATCTCCACCAGTCCCTTGAGGTTCCCAACCCGCCGATGCACTCGAATCCGTGGCGCTTGCTGTACTCCACGAATGGAACCTGTCCAAAACACAGCAATTTCATGGCGGTTAGCACCGTAAAAGTGGACCATAGTAAACCTAAAACTACACAACCAAATACTAGGGTTTTAAACCAAAAAACAAATGATGAAATAGATTGAAATAGATAGATCATGGAAGTTGACATAAGTGACCTAAACATCAGTTACAACCTAAAAATTAAGACCAAGACCCTGGGAACTGCAGATTCACAGATCTTGTCTTTAACCTCATCCAGCTCCAGAATTGTAATGTTCACATCCGATTAATTTTAATTTCAGTTCAAATTCAGCTCAAATCCAAACCAAGTCATCCAAGTCCAAATCAAATCAAACCCAGTCGAAGTCGACATAGAATCAATTCAAAAACACTATTTCAAGTTCAGCAATACATGCAATACTTGTTTTAGACGTTTTTTTCTCGCGCACATGACAGATGTCTTTGTTTCCATAATTAGGCAATTGGTTCTGCAAGGCTACATGTCGTCCCACAAAGTACGTTTGACCCCAACTTTGGATGATTCTAATCTTAGAGGGATGGTCCTAATCAGATCAATTCAGATGATATCATAGTGATATCATGGTGATTTATAGCGATTGCAATTGGGAAAAGATCCCACGTCTCAACCCCTCTGAGATCTCTGAGTCTGGTAGCAGGAAATTCCTGTTGGCCTTTTGGGTATGGGAGCCCCAAGGAAACCAGGAGACCGCACTTTGGCGGTGGCGTCCATGGAACGTTCCTGCGCCGCCAGCGCCAAGGTCTTGGCAATTGTCTCTGGCGGCCTGGACGACTGGAAACCCACGAAATGGAGGGATTTCTGGGGTGAAAAGTGCGAGAAAGGAAGCGTTATGAAAGAAAATTAGGATTTACGGGGTGGGAGGTAAGGATTTATGTTTATGATTTGCCAAATCCAAATGGATGGGTTGAATAAGAAGGAATTACAGTATGACTCCGCATTTTGAAACTTTGAAATTGGCAAAAACTATCATTGCTATGGGGGTGCCCCGTTCCATCCCACAGTTTCAAAGTTAATTGTATCCTTTGTTAACCAACCATACATTGCAATATCCCATTTTGAGACAAAACCAATATGATAAGTGTTCAAAAGCCTGTCATATCTGTATACTGGTTTCTTAGTGTGCTACAGGCGGTCGGTTTGGGTCACCCCCCATATTGCCAAATGTTCCATGTTTCTTCATCATGTTCACCTCTGGTAAATTAACATAGCTATGGAAAATCACCATTGTTTATGGGAAAATCCACTATAAATGGTCATTTTCAATAGCTATGTTAAATTAGCAGAGGCTATTCCTTTTGAACATGTTGAACAACTCCTATGATTTCATCCTGATATACCAACCATGCCAGATTGCTGCTGCCATCTAGGCATCCCACGTGCAGCGATCCAGCAGACCCACCAAGTCCTCGGTTGAAACGCGCTGTCAACTGTCAATGTGTAAATATGCATATAACCATATATATAATTATATATATATATAATGTGTACATATCATATATATATTATGTATATTATGTATACTGTATATTATGTGTATATATTATATATATATATCATATATATTATATAGGTGTATATATCATATATACGTATATTATATATATATATATACGTATATTATATATTATATATATATCTGGGTAAATTATAATATTTCACTAACCTGAATTAAGGCCATTTGGGGATGATTCCCCTTACTAACCATGATTCCAGTGAGGTCGCAGTGAAGTCGTTATAATCTACCCAGATATATGTATATTATATATATATAATATACATGCGCTCTGTGAGTGCATAGTATAAGTATAGTGCATGAAATTACATACATATATATAATTACACATACGCATACACTGCAGTACTATGTGGTTTTATATAATATACTTATATATATATAAACATACACTGCAGTTCTATACACACTTAAAATATACATACCACACCACATGTATACTAATGATCATACAGCCCCAGACAGCGTGGAGACCCTTTTTTTCAAAGCTCCAGCAGCAGCACTTCCTGGTAACTGCCGCTGTCTGGGTCTCCAAACGGCACACATCGGGGGCAAAGTGCGATTTACCAAGCTCACAACCTGCGTGGTCCGGAGCTGCTGGGTTCCCATGTCCATATCCAGATGGTAGCTGTGCGGTACGGGATTGTCCAAAAATGAGGGATACCATGGGATACCCAAAAAAAACAAATGGTTTCTTTGACGAAAATGATGATCAATCTGATAAAGACATGGATTTTTGACTGGTATCTGGGGTATCTTGTCCAGTATATAGCTCTGATGTGAACAACGGCAAGTCCGACTAGAGCAACCTATTTGATATAGTTATAGTGTGAGGGCTCATTCAATTCATATGGGCCCATGGATTTGTCATGCTTTTCCACGCTGATCAGTGGGTTGTCATGGTTTTTCTTTTCTAAATGAGACTCTGGTAATTCCCAAAAAAAACGTGGACGGCCTCACGATCATGGAGATTGTCGCGCAGTCCGTCGGAGAACATGATCACCAGGTCTCCCTGCAGCTGAGAAAAGGGCCCAATTTTACCCAGGAGGGGCCAAGCGCGATAGCAAAAGGCTGACTACTCCTTTGAAACACCCAGCCATTGAAGAAATCACGTTCAACAATCGGAAGCTGAGGTTCAAAAGTCCCCAAATGAGACCTGTGCAAATCCCCAGCAGTGTGTGGGGTACAAGATGGCTAAATATAACGATAGGTTGATAGGTCACTCGATGTCACCCTTGACCTTTCTTTCCCATTCCAACAAATATTATTGTAATAATTACAACAGATTGGAACAGTTTCTCGTGCGTCTTGTGGCAAATGTCTGGGTGTTGTCTGGTTTTGACCCAAACAACAATCAAACACATGGCTTGGTAAATTCAATGTCCCACCATGTCCCACCATGTCCCACCATGTCCCACCATGTCCCACCATGTCCCACCCACCCATCTTGGCGATTTTGAACATCCCCTTCAAAAGGATGTTGGGTCCAGGCGGCAAGCCCTGGAAAACCATGAGCCCCAGAGGTTGAAGCATCCAGACAAGTCTTTTGAGGGTGGGAAGCACAAGTGCTTGAAACTAGATGAAGCAAACAGACATTGCAGGGAAATCAATATTCTTGAAACCACACAAAACCACCATCATGGTGTGTTATCCCCCTCAACATTCCAGCAGCAATCAACTTGCCTCACGGATGGGAACAGTGTAGCGCTCGCCTTGATGCGCAGGACAAGTGGTGAGAATCTTGTTGAATCTGGTCGTCTACTGTCACTGCGAAATATTGAAGTCATTTCTCATGATAATTGGGTTTGTCTGTAAAAGGGTACCCCGGAAATTTTGATGGTTTATCATGGTTTCTCATCAAGTATTGTATGAACATGGTCAATCCCATTATATTCCCCATGACGTCTTCATTTGATATGGTTAGACGACCAAACAAACCTGGTGCTATTCCTTTTTGCCCCGCAACATCACCATCTACAATGTGGTGCCAACTATCTTTGTTGCCTTGCAACCCCCATTGCCCCCTCAGCAAAAGATATCTCTGCCACTATCTATAGATATAGGATAGTATAGCCTAACCATAAAGCAACTTAGCCTACGCCTACGCAATCCCCAGGGTTCATCGACATGTCATGAATATCATCTCAATTTAAATCATGTATAACTTAATATGTATATATAGATTATATATTATATTATGTTATATTATATTATATGATATGATATTATGTTATATTATATTATGTTATATTATATTATATTATATTATATTAAATTATATTATATTATATATATTATTATATTATAAATATATATATATATATATTATATTATATATTATATATATTATATTATATATTAATATAATTATATAAATACAACTACTTGCATATCTCAAGATATCATCCCAACTTAATTGACTTCCGAATTCGGGCACCACATGTTTTCGGTTACCACGAGTTCCAGGCAATCTCTTGCTTTGTCCAGCTGCAGCTTGGGGAATCGATTCAGCAGAGTCTGGGAGGTGTCACATGTGTCACATCCGACTGGGAAAATCGTAATTACTTTACTTCGTGTGATCCCCACCATGACATTTATACATTTTGTTACTGGCAAATCTTCTGGCATTCTATCTGACATATTTTCTGGCATTCGATCTGGCATTCTATCTGGCATATCTTCTGGCATTCTATCTGACATATCTTCTGGCAGATGTTCTGGCATATCTTCTGGCAGATGTTCTGGCATATCTTCTGGCATATCTTCTGGCATATGTTCTGGCATATCTTCTGGCATTCCATCTGGCATATCTTCTGGCATATTATCTGGCAAATCTTCTGGCATTCCATCTGGCATTCTATCTAGCATATCTTCTGGCATATTATCTGGCAAATCTGCTGGCATTCTATCTGGCAAACATTCTGGCACTTTATCTGGCATATCTTCTGGCGTTCTAGCTGACATTCTATCTGGCATTCTATCTGGCATACCTTCCGGCATTCTATCTGGCATATCTTCTAACATTCTATCTGGCATATCTTCTGGCACTCTATGTGGCATATCTTTTGGCGTGGATACTCGCGGTTGAGGTCCGGCAGGGAACACTGGGCGTGGATAGTCGTGGTTGAGGTCCGGCAGGGAACACTGGGCGGGGATACTCGCGGTTGAGGTCCGGCAGGGAACACTGGGCGTGGATGGTCGTGGTTGAGGTCCGGCAGGGAACACTGGCGGGGATGGTCGTGGTTGAGGTCCGGCAGGGAACACTGGGCGTGGATGGTCGTGGTTGAGGTCCGACAGAGAACACTGTGCTTCGAGGGTCGCGGTTGAGCAGGAGGAGGAGGAGAGGAGAGGAGGAGAGGAGAGGAGACGAGGAGAGGAGAGGAGACGAGGAGAGGAGAGGAGGAGAGGAGGAGGGAGGAGGAGGAGGAGGACGAGGCAGGAGGAGGCAACTGACATAAAATCTAACAACCCTCACCTGGCAGGTGGGGAAAAATCCGACTGAGCACCTCTACTTGATTCTACTTGCAGCTATCCACAAACACAAACGCTATCCACAAAAACAACAAAAATAAGAAATCACAGAAGTTTACAGATTCAAACCATTTCAAATCCTGACTTTGGGATTGAAGCTGAATTCAGGACCTGCACCATTCATCTGTGCGATATACATAGCATCATTCGGCAAAAACCTGGTAATTTGATCGCATATCTACTGTTTGAGGTGGGGTCCTATACGTGTTTTTCATGTAAAGCTTTCCTGAAATGGGGGTAGCCCTAACTCATCCATTTTCATGTGATTTTCATGGGATTTTCCATGATAACCAAGCATTTTGGGGATCCCCCATTTATGGAAACCCCCATGTGGACTTTCTGGCAATCTTGGGGACAACAATGTACCGCGCCTTGGGCAGTCGTGTGAGCTGGTAGGGGCAATTCCTGGCTGGTCACCAACCACTCTTTCAGAAATTGAATCTACCAAATTCGATCCTGTTGGGGATTGATACATATGGCTGTGGATCAATACCTATACATACCATTTTTAGGGGGATGAACATCCATTTACCAGCTATTTTGATGTTCACCAGGGGTACAAGGTTTTGACACACTGCCATATTGAAAGTAGCCTCGAAAAGCCATTTCCTTCTATGACCCTGCTTATTTTCAAAGTTTAATCCTTAGTTTTGCTTCACGCCTGTACTGATTAAAGCAATAGACACTTGGTGTCCCGGACCAGCTGTGTTGTTGCTCTTCGGACTTGACGATGATCTCAGGCGTCGTCAAGAAACAGCTGTTCCAAAGAGAGCCCAAAACTATGTTTGCCGATGGGGACTTCAATCATCCCAAAGTACTGGTTATGAAATCAACTCGGAAGGAGTTTTGGAACATAGTTTCTGGTTGTATAATATAGTTATCAATATAGTACTGGTTCCCATTGTGTGGTCATATCCATAACAATATGCAACATGCGCCATGGTCGAAACAAGGGAGGATTCTATGACCCCTGGTCACCATTGAAACGCTGATAGGGAACATGATAGGCATAATGTCATAATGATAGGTATAAAATTGTACAATGACAAGTATAGTGGTATAATATGGTATAGGATGGTATAATATGGTACAATATGGTACAATACGGCATAATATGGTACAATATGGTATAATATGGTATAATATGGTATAAGACATTAACCATACTTCACCCATATTATTAATGTTTCTGGTATGGCAATGCTGGTTATCCCGAACCCCCAAAAAGAGTCCGTTTTAAACGGGACCCCCTGCGGACATCCCATGAAGCCCCTTGCGCAGAACCATAAATCCTCAGTGTGACCCGAAAGGGACTGGAAATCACAAGTAGTGGCATAGCTCGATGATTATATGAAGATGAAATTCGGGGGTGAGAACTGGCCCTATGCTCAGAAAAAAAACATGACAACACCATATTCCATGAGTCTCCTATGATCCATTGTGGACTCCATATTCCACCTTTTCATGGTATCACCTCACCAAAGCTGTCTACCTCACATAAGTATTACTCTTTTCATCGCTGCCACTAGCCCTATTCAGCCTTTACAACCCAGGTCGCAGGTCATTTTTGATGTACCCTCTGGTTATGACTAACATAGCCATGGTATGCCATGGTATAGACGGCCCATAGAAATACATGGTTTACCTATTAATAGCATGGTGGATCTTTCCATGGCAAACTGTGAATGTCATAACCAGAGTTTAAGTGAAATCATCATTAATCACCAATAATCACCATCATTAACCATCATTAACCACCATTAATCACCATTAACCACCATGTTATATTTTCAATGGCTCATGAACTTGCTATAAACTCACAACCAGACGTCAACGAAAAAACCTCCTCGTCTCACCAAGCCTTGGCTGAACGGCTGCCACCAAGGCAGCCACCTGAGTCACCGAGGTTCGCTCCTCCGAGGAAGTTTCCTGCGGTTCAGTCAGTCATGGATGTCAAGTTTCTAGAAATCTAGTGCTTACTGGTGCGTTTTACGCAGGGAATTTTCGGGAATGATCCACAAGAACTATCAATAATCATCCCAGCAACCCCCAGCAACCCATCCATTCCCTGCTAAGACAATCTTCCATTTTCTGGGTCATAATTATGGTCCATACTCACCATCAGTGGCAAAAAAGGTCTCATCGTTGGTCCAGTTTTCGACCTTCGGTCCAGGAACATTACAACACCCTCGATGGAACATGATGGAACAATCTTTGTCCCAAACAAGTGCAATTCCGAGCACAGCACCTTGCTGGCATAGGACAGCAATGGTGGAGGCTCCATATGCCTTAGCTGATGGGATTATGTTTGAATGTCATGGGGTAAATTAGTAAAGCATGATCTATTGTTTTTTTCCTTGAGATATAAACCAACAGATATCATGTAGGAGTGAATGAAATGGTTTGATCATGGTTTTTGGTTAGCTTTCCCAAACAATGGGAAGGTTATCCCCCCATTTTGAAATGGCTTGAATTACCTACGTATGTTCACTTTGGAATCCCGGTCATGATGGTGGGATGACCAGAACACATACAAGGGCCATGTTTTGTCCCTGGCACAAGCATGGATAACGAAACTAATACATGAACATTGGGAATATCATGGAATATAACACAAACCTGGCAAATAAATGAGAGCAGTCTTCTGTTGGGGCTTGCCCGGTTGCCAAATAAATAATAATAATAATATCAACCCACCTGGTTTGATATAATATGTGGACTAAACCATACTTGTAGTCCCTGCGAGCAACCAGTACGATGGGCTGGGACATACTGTATAATTACTGTAAGTCAGATATATGTCCCAGTGTTTTTTTTTGGATACAATATCGGTTGAAATTGTTGTGAAATAGTGGCTGATGGTCTCCAATTTTGTTGATGGTCCATCCGAAATTGAGGGAATCCGAGGGAAAGTTCAGACGAACCACGCTAGCATTGGAAGGTGACCAATGAAATTAGGCTTATATAATTGAATATAACTGTATAATCATTAGAAATCATTAGAAACATGGTATAGCTCAATTGTGCTTTATGAATCTAAATGAACTGCATGGTTGGTGGTTGGACCCCTTCCCAAGTTTATGCAAGTCAAATTGGAGAATCATCACAAATAGGAATAGGGTTGGAAAAAGCACATTATTAACCATGTAATGTAATGTAGCAAACCTGTAAAGTCCATCCATGTCCTTCAAAGTTACCATGGCAAAAAACGATTGGCCCACCAGACAAAGACAAGTGCTTCCATTGTTCCCATGTGTTCCCCGGCTTGGGGTCATTCAAATACAATGCATTATTACTATTACTATTACTATTATTAATATTATTATTATATATACATATTATATTATATATATTACATAATATCTATTTTATAATATATGTATACCTATATACATATATTCTATTTATATATTATATTATATATAAATATATTATCTATATTACATATATTAATATATATATTATATATATATATATGTGTTATATATATATATATATTATCTATATTACATATATATATATTCGTTATATACATATATATATATGTTATATATATATATGTTAATATGTATGTATCATATATAATTCCCCCCTTTCTTACTCTAACCAGCTGCACGAGAAGAATCCAGCCCCGAAAAAAGTCACTTAACTCTTCCATCCCTGGAGTTGAATGCTCGGCAGTTGTCCATGGTTATATCATCCCCAATTAAGTTATATACCATCTGGTTATTTAACAGTTCGCCATGGAAAATTCCACCATTTTTAATAGGTAAACTATCTATTTCGATTAGGGCCATCGAAAAACCATGGCGAACTGTTAGTCATAACCAGAGGGTAAATCCCATTAAAAGCTCACTCAAATCCCCAAGAACATTCGCCAATGCTTCAACCAACGCGCCCAGGGACAGCCGCTTGGGATTCTCCATGCTGCATTGCAGTGGCAGCACGGCTGGCCACGTCATCTGGCATGGTTTTTCAGCAATGAAATCTGGCTCGAAATTTTGAAATCTGGTTACCCTCTGGTAAACTGTCACATAACTATGGAAAATCACCATTTTTAATGGGAAAATCCACTATAAATGGTCATTTTCAATAGCTACGTTAAATTACCAGCGGGTAAATTGATGAAATTTCACCCAGGAATTTAACACCAACAACATTGATTTAACATAATTTATATGAGTTTAGTCTGGGAATCATCAATTTAAGGTGTACGCAAATTGTACGCAAATCAACATACACCATAAACATCATAAACCATCCGATTGATCAAGGATTTTCCAGTCAATCATTGAGGAATATTAAGCATGAAGGGATATTGAGTAGGATGCGGAGTGGTCATCATCATGTTTGTCAAATAATGGAAAAAACACAATGTCAAACCGGGTGCACTACAGCATTGTGAGACAACACAGGTGCTGGGGGTGTAGGGGTTGTATTGCCATTGGCATTTACCATTCCAAAATTGTGTTTTAAAAGCAGGTGCATAGGGTCTACTACTTGGGTTTACCACATCAACAAATAATACCACTATACTATGACTAAATGATAATGGTACGGAAATCTGGAACTGAGTAACAACTGTAGGGCTAGACCCTTGAGAAATCAAGGGGCCAATATCTGAAGCAACAGCCCGACACTCTCGCAGGAGCCACTTGGGATCTTGTCCTCACTGGCAATACCGCCAGACCTTGGAATGCTGCCCCAAAGGTGAAACTAAATTTGGGACTTTCAAATGAATTTAATATGTTTTATAATATGTTTAGCAATGTTGTAAAGTTGATGTTCTAAATGCAATGTTACTGTAATATGTTTAGCAATGTTGTAAAGTTGTTTGTTTTTTTAATGCAATGTTTTTGATTAAACAAACGATAAAAGTTGGGACTTTGTTATGTTTAGCAATGTTGTAAACACAAAACATCACAAAACCATGAAAAAATCGCGTTCCAAGAATCACCAATGTCGGGGAATTAAAGCAAGTGAGGAAAAGTAAATTACGTTCTTTGGGTGCTCCCCACCGTGGCAGCTATGCTGACATTTTATCTTCCATATGTTTTTTCCGACATTTAATCTGACACATATTCTGACTTTCTATTTGACATCTTTCCTAGCATATCTTGACATACTATCTGGCATTCTAACTCACAAATAATCTGACAATCTATCTGACATATTGTATGACATTTTACCAGGCCGAATTATTTGACATGTTTTCGAAATTATTTCTTGTCTTTGACACTCTATCTGAAATTCAATCTGACATTGTATCTGCATGTATCTGCCATTCTATCTGACATCCTATCTGGCATGCTATCTCACATCTTATCTGGCATTCAACCATTTTGTTTTACAATTATTGAAATGTCATGAAATTTCTACATATTTCTACCTGGAATTCTATCCGACATTTTGCAAAGTCATTCAGGTAGTTGAGTTGGCATTCTATCTGGATTCTGTCTAGCATTCTATCTGGCATGAGCGAGAGAGAGAGAGAGAGAGAGACAGAGAGAGAGAGAGAGAAAGAGTGTCGCTAGAATCTAGACGCTCACCTGGCAGGTGGGGAATGAAACTCATGCTTATACTGGTTGGTGGTTTCAACCCCCCTGAAAAATATTGGTCAGTTGGAATGATGATTCCCAGATATGGAAAAATAAAAAACATGTTCCAAACCATCAACCAGTATATATAGATATCCATCAAGTTCCAGTGTATGTTTTTTGAATAAGCCTCCTGTTGGAAAGTGCAATGCACAATTATACCCACCAACAGGGATGGGCCATGTTTCTCCTCCTCTCCCCGGCGGCTCTGGCAGTTTCTTATCACACGTGAACTCTTTCACCCTCAGCAAATAATTTCAACATTTTTTACAACATCCAGGGCCACCTTGGAGATCGCTGTGGTCAACATAAACGTCCCTGGAAAAGCTTTGTATGGATCGCTTTGTTTTGCCCCTGGTACAGTAACCAACAGCTGAGACATGAGGGTCACCCGACTTGAGAGCCGCGGAGGAGAATTCCATCCTCAGTCAGGGCTGAACCTGCAAATCAACCAGTGAATCTTGGTGGTAAAATCAGCCAGCCGCTGAAAATGACTCCAACGAAACCAATGCATTGGATAGTTGCTTTGAGACCTCAGTCTGAAATTTCCCAAGTGCGTGTTACTGAAAACCGAGTACAAATCTCAGCACACTTAAGACCAAACTGGGGGGGCGAAGACCCACAAAACAAGCATAAATATGATTAAACATGATCATAACATGATCAAAAAGAAACAGAACATGCAAATGAATATGCCAGAATCATCCACAATCCACGGATCTCAAATGATCTTGAGGTTTTACTTCACCAATGACCCGAACCCACCATCTCCCAGGGGGAAAAAAACGGCCCAACCGAGGCCCAAACAGCTCAGCTGCATACTTCGCCGCGTTGATACCGTAGCTTGCGAATTGCACCTGTCAGGTGATGATGCCCTGGGGAAGTGGATGTTGACAAAGGTTGAACTACGAATATACATATTATAATATATATATATAGTGTGTATATATATATATAATTATATCACAATATATATATAATTATCCATACATAATCTTGTGGAAACAAACAATAACATTTGGGATCGCTTGGGCATGTCTTAATGCCATGGAGCCCAAGTCATGATCCAAGTTATTGCTTCTCTGAGAAATCAATGGTGGGGGCAATTTTGAGAAACACACACATCTTACTGATGCTTAGTAGGGAATAGATAGGAATGGGGGAATGGGATGATTATTACTAGTAATTATGGATCATTCCCGAAACTTCCCTAGCACCAGTAAGACATTCCTATGTTGACGAGGATTAAACACAGCAAGATTCACTACATATACATCAAACAAGTTCCCAAAACCCATAGAATTTGTAAATAACTGGGTTGGTGAGGATCAATGAGATACAGTCAAACAAACTGTCACATACAAGTCTCATACTTCATACCGTCTCATACCTGAGAAGGATTTGAACCAAGGGGTTTCAAAGTATGAAATATCTGGATACAAACCATTGTGGCTGGAAAAAGAGGTCTGAACTGCCCAAGAACGGCACGCTTAGCCCGGCTGGGAATCACAAGCGACAGATCTAACACTGGCAAATGAGTTTTCGTTGCTGAGAAAATTCAATTGACTACAAATATCCTGCCCAAAATGTGAGACCGCAAATTGGAATGACTGGTCCGGCTGGTCATCTGAGTCATCTTGCAGCCATTGCACTACTCATCTTTTCGAAACCTCCATTTTTCTGAAACCATCCGATTGTGATTGTGGAAGCCATCTCCCAATTTTGCTACGATTTTATGGTCAAGCTCGGTCAAACCATCCAAGAAAGGGGGGCATATCCGCCCACCGGGGCCCATCGTTGCAGGGTGAAGAAATCACTGTTCTACTGGTGAAATATACGCTTCATCCCAATGTATGTTCTGATTAAATACTATTGGTTTGTAGATTAATTTCTTTATTTATCCCTTTTCTTGATGAGATCCCCTTCTTTCGTGGTCACCTCCTCATTTGTTAGTGTTTACATCATCTAAAATCATCTAAAATCCGTAAAATGAACAAGTTTTGAAAGGTAACTCTTTCTTTTCAGTGACGTAATTTCGCCACGAGAAAACAACGAGAAACAGCCAGTCTGGGCTTTCCCAGCCATGCAGCCGACTCCATCAGCCACACCCAGGCCATGAGGATCCAAGAAAAACGCATCCTCACCTTGATCCGACTCTCACAGAACTTAGCACTTAACCGACTCAACCCAAAAACCCAAACTCTCAGGTAGTGAACTGGGCACCCCTCCGAAATGCACCAAATTTGAGATGTTGAGAATTGACTTGAGGGGTCCAAATGATTGGCCTTGATTTCCACGATACTCGGGGTACCCAATGGCGTAACCAACGAGAAACCCTGCACATGGTAGATGGTTCAGTTCACCAGTGTGAAACACCTGTAAAAAAACTTGGGATTCCATGAAACTGTTGTATAGATATATGATATATGATTATATGATGCTATATCATGATATGTGATGATATGTGATGATATATGATGATATGTGATGATATGTGATGATATATGATGATATGTGATGACATATGATGATATATGATGATATATGATGATATATGATGATGAATGATAATATGTGATGATATGTGATGGTATGTGATGATATATGATGATACAATGATATATGATGATATGTGATGATACAATGATATATGATGATATGTGATGACATATGATGATATATGATGATATATGATGATATATGATGATGAATGATAATATGTGATGGTATGTGATGGTATGTGATGATATATGATGATACAATGATATATGATGATATGTGATGATACAATGATATATGATGATATGTGATGATATGTGATGACATATGATGATATATGATGATATATGATGATATATGATGATGAATGATAATATGTGATGGTATGTGATGGTATGTGATGATATATGATGATACAATGATATATGATGATATGTGATGATATGTGATGACATATGATGATATATGATGATATATGATGATATATGATGATGAATGATAATATGTGATGGTATGTGATGGTATGTGATGATATATGATGATATATAATGATATGTGATGATATATGATGATATATGATGATATATGATGATATATGATGATGAATGATAATATGTGATGGTATGTGATGGTATGTGATGATATATGATGATATATGATGATATATGATGATATATGATGATGAATGATAATATGTGATTGTATGTGATGGTATGTGATGATATATGATGATACAATGATATATGATGATATGTGATGATACAATGATATATGATGATATGTGATGATATGTGATGACATATGATGATATATGATGATATATGATGATGAATGATAATATGTGATTGTATGTGATGGTATGTGAT